TCTCATCATCCGAAAGAAGAGATTTCCGTTGACGACAAGTTCGTAGCCCGCCTTTCCGCTCTAAAACTAGGGTGCAAAGAATGAATGGAAGCTGTAGGTGACATTATCGAAAAATGCGAAACAACAACCCCGAGCAAGGATGTGGCTATATTTAGGGGAAGGGGTCTCGGGACGTGCGAACCATGGGTAAGCCACCCATCAAATAGTAAACTTATGTAAATTAAGACAAAATGTATGTAAAATTTATTGTAGGTTTGTCAAAAATCCAGCCGTCCAGGTCCTGGGAAGATATGTTATTCCACATTGCTGAGAGTATATATGGGTATATTAAGATTGCTAGAAACATTCCAAAAACAAAAGAAATAGTCGTGCGCCACCTTGTGGCGCACGCCGTCCGTTATGGGTTAAAAATTCTGTGTCGTTATCACTACCTCCTAAAATCACGAATGTGACCCTGGCTGCTGCTTTGATGGGGGTGAAAGGGCTGGGTGAGAATTCACTTAGCTGAACACTGCTTTTCCTTCAACACCATACCCCATATCCTTCTAAACACTACACTCAAGGCATTTATTCATCCAGTAATGCCGCGTGCAATATCGGGTACCATGCGTGGGAGGACTAAAGTAAGGCTCACGTGCTCGTTTACTTAGCTGACTAATTCCGAGGGCGATGATCACAGCCAAAGGCATCTTAAGCTGTTGAACAAACGAGCAGGAAAACGTTATGTTTCCAAGACGTCGATGATTTCAGGTGGCTAAGAATGAAATTTTGAACAGCGAACTGTTACTAGAGAAAGAACGCTACGATGTGGACATTCTTAAGGTTGGTTGATCTCTAGCTTATCTATGCTCGACTCATAGAACCATGTCACCCAGAAACAAGCTGAAGTTCTAATTTCTCCAGCGTCGAGCAGCTTTTGTGGAGAAACCGGAGGATCCGCCAGAGATCGTGCGAACAGGACGACGATGGCAACCACCACCGGAGAAGCCATACATGTGGCCAACGGTTCCCCGACCCGGATCTGTTGGCGTTGAAGTGCCAGAAATCGATTATCCAACAGGTATGTAATGTTGTTTGCTTTTCGAGCTCAGCAACGGATACTAGGTTCAGAGTTGAACCCAAAGAATTCTTCTACTGATCTTGTCCCGGAAAAGCTTCAGCTTTAACCACTGGAGAGATTCTGACTCGTGCGTTCTCACCTAACCCTCGAACAATCAAAAGTACAGGGTGAAAGGAACCATATAAAAATCATCGAGTTTATGTGCTTCAGGAGCGGCCGAGTCAGCTGACGACAATGCCGGAGTATCCAATTGGCCCACTGTGACCGATCCAACCCGCTACATGAAAGAGGCGCAAACTCACACCACCGAAAGTCCTCCACTGTCGATTCGGCGAGTGAGAAGAGACATGTACTCGTCCACTGAGAGAACGCAGCACCGAACGTTCAAACTAAATACCTCATACAGGTAGGTTTTCAGGAATAGTTTTAAGAAACACATTAACATATGCACAACCTTCAATTCCAGCCATCACCGGACGGGAGTCATCGACCTAAGCCAGCATTCCGAAAGGAACGAAAACCGCCTAGCGGTGGTTTTTACCCGCATGCTCCATAGCGTAAGGTTGTTGTCATGTCTAACAACCCTAATTAGGTTATATATTCTAGCCAGCGCTCACAAATTCAATCGAGAACAAGATTCCAGCATCATCCAGAAAAACTGCAAAACAACAGAAAAATCAAAACTTCCTTACGTGCGATGTTAAGCCTTTCAGCTCGAAAATGGTTGCTCTACCTTCTGCGGTAAATATTTACTTTTAGGATAATGTCATAATTCCCCAACGGGGACACTGAACATGTTAACGCCCCAGCACGGTACACGATCTTCTTGAGAGCAGCCGCTAATCGTATAACAACAATTACTGCAACACGTCCACCGGTGTGGATTCAAATGTAGAAATTCAGATTGTGAAACGTCGACCGGCATCAGCTCAGGGCCTCTTAGCCCCTGTAGATGATGGAGGGCAAGAGCAAATCGAAGTGATACACCAGCGGAACTACCACAAACTCGAACGAGGCACGTATTTTGAACAATCTTTGAGATAGAGGAGTTCAGTAATCATCTTGCATTTCAGGTTATCGAGATACGCCTTCTCAAGCAAGAGAACGGAGCGGTCGACGGAGCGCTGGAGGACGATCTGAGCCAGGTGAGATTCCCTTCGATCTTTATCTGACAGTAGCTGTTGTATGACGTAGTAAGAGAATCCAATAGTTTCTTTAGCCATAAACGACTGGGAGAAAATCTACGAGCTACCTCCACACTCCTCAACGATCGTTGGTAAAGACGTACCAACAAATATCGATGTCAAACGGCGGCTTTCGAATTTCCAAGGATCCGTTCAGAGCCTCCAACGACGACAAGAAAGCGCTCAACGATCATACAGCGTCGACAGTGTAAGCTGCTTTGGTTTCCTTTAGGTCTTCATCCAACCATGAACCGAGATCACGCTGGCCTTCGGGATTAAAAGCGCCCTACTTTCACAGAGTGAGGCGCTATCCAGCAGTAGCTTCTACTACTTGCGCAGGAAATAATATGGGATAGGTACTCATTTCGATTCAAAAAATGTTTTTTCAAAGCAGCTTCAATTTTTCATGGATTAGGTCTGTACCCGACTTCGTTCAGAGGCGAATTCAATGATAGATTTCAGTGTATCAACCCCTTTTGCGAGCTAGAGCTATTTGCAGGGGTCCTAAGTGTGACGTTTTCAAGGCTCAAAAGTGCGCCACAAAGACCACTAGAGCCTTATCACTCAGCCGCAGGCGCTTCTGTGACTCGCAAAGCAACAGCGACGAAGTGTCTGCGTCCGCCCGTACATCATGCCCTCGTTTCCACGTCTGTGGATTCCGACACCCAATAGCTCTTACAGGGTTTAGCGTTCTATTGACAAGCTCACAAACACGCCCATCGTCCAAAAAAGCAAGTCCTCGTGAACATTTTTTTGCAATTCCTTCTCTTACTTCTTCATGAGCACTTCCGCTTCCCATTCTTATTTCCGAGCGAAACAACCAATCTAGTGGTCACAGACTTGAGCTCTTAAATTAGCAACGTGGAAAGCGCGTGTGGAGCAATACCAGCAGAAGACTGTGAGCAGAGTTTACGGACAACTCGAACTCAGTTCACCAAACCATCTCAATTTGGTGCTCTCCCTGCGCTCTCTCGCCTTAACAGCGGCTCATGACTACTGTGATCTCACACATTCAAACTTTTGCCACACTGTAATTGGCTCACCCACCCAGGAGTCCGTCCTCCCTCCCTCCAAGGCTCAGTCTTAGGGCTCTCAACTTCCTCCTTGGGATTTGGAGCCGGTTCTTTTCTATCTGTACTTTGCAGCAAAGAGGCACGCACTCTGTACATATGCAGCAAATCCACATAAAAGCGCGTAGACCTTCGCTGTAATTCCATTGTGTGGTG